GTTAATAATTCCGGATACTTCCCCAGGCGGTGTGTGACATAATCCGTATGTGGAAACGGATCCACTTACTAGCGCGAAATCACACGACCTACTCCTAGCGTGGGAGTCGTTCTTGCATTTCTCGGTAGGAGGAACGTGGCTTCAAACTTAAGAGTTTCACTCCTTTGATGTGGGTTAAGAGGGGAGGGGAGTTGACTGTCGCTTCTGCTGCGAATTCCAGTTGCTTTCTTAAGAATATATTCCATTTACACAGGACTGTGTCGTGAAAAACTTTAAATAATTCATAAGGAAGATTTTCACAGCGATGAGTATGAAGATTTCCGTCTTCTGGGTTGTTGCGCCTTGTAGTCTGATAGAAGTTAAAGGACGTTTCAGAGGTCCCTGCTGTCTCCATCATCAAGGCGTTGAGTCGCAGAGTTCAAGCATGTTACAGACGGTTAATCGTAGTTTAAGATATTTTTGTACAGAACGTTGCAGGTGATAAATAAAGTAATGTGATTGTTATATCGGTTTAATTAGGAGCAAAAATGTAATATTGTTCAATTCTTACACGATTGAAAAGTGTTGTGATAAGATTCTAACAAAATTCTGTATAAATCTTTAAATTTGATTTAAAATGTGGATTAAAAATTAGGCCTATGGTGAGTCGGTACTGTCAGCATGAGGAACTAATATATGCGGCGAATGAGATCACAGTAGTAGGGAAATTTAGCTGGAACACGCGATTTTAACATAAATACTGAAAATACGCAAACGAGTGGTATGAGAAACGTTTTGGAAAACTTGATTTGTATATATATTATGAAGCACTGAATATTGAACTAACATGCTGTGTAGGCCTATTTCGTCTTCTAAATTGCTTTCTGTTTTTATTAGCGAGTGTAATGTGTGTATTAGGTTAGCTTCTGTGAGATTTAAGGTCACGGCGATTAATATAAACACGACAGTCATCTGAGCTGTTGCGCCATGTAGTCTCGTAGGAACAGGTCGAAGTTTCAGAGGTACGTACTGTCTCCATTAGTGCTATGATGATAGAGGCAGCAGGTACCTCTGAAACGTCCTTTAACTTCTATCAGACTACAAGGCGCAATATCCCAGAAGGCTGTTTAGATTAGCATCGAACTGATGCAATAGCTAAGGTGATGTATTTGTTTGATGTTTTTACAATTTAAAACAGGTTGTCCTTCACACCAAGAAACGCATCATTTTCGTATGTTATATGACTCTGATTAAACATAGTAAGAAATCATTTTGTAGGTCGGACAATCCCGGAGTGTTTTGCAAAGGGGAAGTTTAGATTTCAAATAGAAGTTTCGAGCACGTGCTATTAACACCGGTATTGAAGAGACGCTCGCTTTAATTAATCTAAAATGGCATTTATCGGAAAGATTTTGGTGTTTATTTACCTGAATATGAACTGGATTCTTGCTTTGGACATCTTGCGCGAAGTCAAAACTGTACACAGCAGTGATACCAACAGTTAATCAGTTAATTACATCACATGTTCTGTACAGAAGGAACACCCCCTCCCACCCCTCCCGGACAGTGTTACACTTTATTTATTTATTTTTTGATTATATTATTATATTGTTTAGTCATTCAGTCTAGCTGCAGATGGCATGCTTGTTGATCCAAGGTTTACCCTCTTAATATTTAAGCCAATTACAATATTTCTATAATCCAGTCTTGTTTGAGACCGCGTTATAACACGTAGTTCGGTTCAAGAATTCCGAAGAACGAATTAAAAATCTTAAAATTAAAGTAAAGTTTAAAGAAAACTTCATGTAAGTTAAGCAAGACATGTTGAAACACCGAGAATCACCTGAAACGGATTGTTTTACTGATTTATTATCAGATCTGTGTTTTAACTCAGTACTTTGCACTCTTAATGACAGATAACGAACTGTGTAACATTTATTACGAGTCAGAAGGCGGCCTCGCAGATACTTATTTAATCTAGAGTACAGAATGAGTCCTGAGGTATAATACCAATCCATGTGCCCTACGATTCCACTGCGGGAGGACGCGGTGTTACAGACGATGATTGTAGCCAAATTCCGTTCTGAACTCATGTCGTTATAAACCTCTTCATTTTGATACTTAGCATACAAAATTCCTGTTATCAGTACCAACATGGAGGCCGTGGGAATTTGGCAGATTGAATTTATTCTAACGTCATTCAGTGCACTGTCTTCACGGTTTGATGGTTATTGTATTCATTTTCATAGAAATGAACTGTAATGAGACGAACGCACAAAATATTTGGTGTGATAACATTAATTAATGAATCGATGGAATGTGATACTTCATAATCGTGATGTGTTCAGAACAGAACGCGTGCTAATTTTTGACCATTACATCGCACTGAAATCGTTTTCTGCTGTTCGTGAAGCATTCTTCAATGTATCCTGACAAGAGGACATCGACTGGTAACAGAATTTCGGAAATCTGGAACTGTTTGTCCGTGGCAAAACAACTTAAAATACTGCCGTACCGATTTCAACCAGAACGCCAGCTACAACGGGACACGGCTACAAGAATTCAACATTTCTGTTGGTTCTGTCTTTTTGTTCTTGAAGATATTCGTGTGTGTTGGGTTGAGTTTTAAATGGAGCAGTCTGTATTAACTACAAGTTCCATTACTCTGGAAAACTAAAATTCGACGAGTCAACTGCAACTGCTTTTAAAGCAAGTAAAAGGGACTCCCCCCCCCCACAACATCTGTGTGGGCACATGCCACGTCACTCCAGTGTAATACTTTGAGTTATCCTTTACCTGGAAAGGAGTGGAGCTTGATTCTTGTCTCTTTATAAATTCTCCCTTCCCCCATATTTAAATGTAGTGCTATTAAGTGGTTTAATGCAGATGGACTGGTCATGCCCTTTCATTAAGACAAGAACTGGAAGCTGTCCGTCCGTCCGCCTGCCCTTAATTCAGATCAGAGAGATGAACGTACGACAAGCCTCCCCCTTCGCTTGTAAACCCTTTCCCGAACATCGCTTTCGCATTAGGATCAATTTCATCGGAATAATTAAAGACGAGCTTGTGGTTAAGCTTGAATCCAGTTTCTTTTCCGACTACAAATCGTGTTACATTAAAAAAGTTTTTCAGTGTTTCGTTTTTGATCTCTGTTAATGGGAGCCATGGCAGCTGTGGAAATACAGGATCGGCCAGGTTATTGTTTTTTTTTTGTAACTAAGCGATAACTTAAAGTCAGAGCGTCGAACTTGAAGGTTCTGAAGAGTTTCGGTTTGAGGTAAACAGCGAAGCATTTGAAAAAATCTGCCTTCTGAGTTGTAGCGCTATGTTGTCTGGTAGAAGTCAAGACGTTTCAGAGGTACTTGCTGCTGTGATTGTTTAGATTACAGACTACGCGGCGGTACAACCAAGAAGACGGCCATATTTGTACTCGTCATCGTGACAATTTTAAATCCAACAAAGCATTTGTTTATTTGTTGAGAGTTTTGTTCACAAACTGCGTAAAATGAACGCACAATGCCCATATTGTGTGTTTTCGGTACTTATGTTACTTAAGGTGGCCATATATGCTCAGGTGTTGATACAGTTCAAAACTGCGCAGTTTTCTATCCAATTTAAAAATTCTGTCGTCTCCATACGTTATTCAGTTAACCTGTATCCAAAAGCACAGTTCGCGCGCGATGTATGCAAGTTTTTCTTTTTTTGTTGGAATGACTTCTCTTGATTATATGATTTATTTATTACTTTGTTACGAGAACTGCGAGAAATCCTTGAGGACCTGCCACACACTAAAAGCCACAAGCGGCCAGTCTCAAATGCGTAGTTAAATTTCAAGCCGAGCACATGTGCTGAACTACCCGGGCAGAACTGTGTAGACAACTGAACACGTCTGACCGCCTTTGTCCTTATCCGGTGCTGGACTTATGCCATTAATGCAATGAAGCGGGCAGTTGGTTAAGGATGTCCTCTGTTTTAGGTTTGGTTCCAGAACGCGAGGGCAAAATGGCGAAGAATGATGATCAAACAGGAAGGCAAGTCCGGAGACAAATGCCCTGGAACCGAATCTGGCAACTCTCTTGCAGACATGGAGTCGTTCCAGCCACATGGACCCGGAACCGTGGGTCCGGAGTTCCATCAGCAAGGACTTCCTCCCCACAGTCCTCCCTTCGTTCTAGGGGGCTCATCCCCTTCACCGCTTGAGTGCTCTTAGTGCACGCGTCCAAGTGATAATTTAAATTAATTTGAGTTGAGAGTGGACTGTTAGTGCTTCCCTGAACTCTTGTATTATAAATAACTCTACCTTTATGGAGCAACTCTCACTGGTTTGCTGTACGTAACGGACGGTTACTAGACATAAGCGCAAATTGCGACAAAGTTCCCCATCATCAGCGCAAGTAAATGTTGGTAGATGCTGAAGGCCTTCGTCGGGCATCGTTACAGACGTCCTCAATGGCCTCAGTGAACAGTATAGTATCTTACGTAAAATAAAATAAAATACGATATTTCTGTTTACATTAGCCACAAAACGAAATATGTGAGATTTAAAAAATGTCGTGTCTAGTAAAATGCATGTACATCAGAATCCTCTGCTGTACTGGTTACTAGCTAATTAAGTACTGTCAAGTACTTCCGTCTCTACACAAAAATATAATATAAATTAATATACTCTCATATTAATTTACTACTTTTAATGTTTATATTTACCAGACGTCGTGCCTTTGGTTATCCTCGCAAACCACTACCATATGTACAACTTCTCTTCTGAGGGGTGAGCCACGTCGAATGTTGAGAATTAGACAACGTTTCGGCAAACATTGTGGTTGCCATCTTCAGGTGAACATGAAATATATGGGGGTTCTTGGAAACCATGTACAGAACAGGTAATAAGTGACGAGTTGGATTTGATGGTGCTGATTGGTGGAGCTGAAGAGCGGGTTGTGTTGTAGCGTAATTTTCACACGTGTTGCTTATACACCATAACACAGTTGTTTGCGAGGATAGCTAAAGACCCAAAAATGGACTGATTAGTTCCGAAACATGTCTAATGCAAAAATAAACAATAAGTTTTGTAATAAATTAGTTTCCGTCTAGTCAAGTAATACTGGGTATAAAAATTGATTAGATTGTGAAATTATTTCTCGACGTTTTTTGGTAATCGCTTTGCGTGCGTGATGGATACAAATTTGTCGTGATTTGCATTTAAGAGAGACTGTTCAGAACCGTTCACAGTTGGCGTCTCAGCTACTGTGTGCTTTCAGAGGCTCAGAGTGTGAACTCAACATTTCGACGTCATTCCACGTGGGGAAGTACCCGGCAGACATCTTGAACAGTTATTCCAAGTTTGTGTTTAAAAAGTAAGTGGAGATAAGTGGGTTGAACGAAATAATTTACTGAATAATATTTCAGTGTTTGAAATGAACTGAAACTGTCTTTCTTGGGTGAATTATTTATTCAGGAAAACAGCGTTTCAAAGATCGTGCATATAATTTTGAAATCGTATGGCCTACAGAGGCCTACCTCAGACTTAGAGGAACAAAATTAGTGAAGTAGATGGTAATTTGACATGAATTTTCCACACCTTTATGTTTATCAATAATGGCCCATTAAAATAATTATTTTACAAACTCGGGTTTTAGTTATATTTAATCAGTAATCCCATTTCTTAAATCCTTATCAAGGTAAATAATTTCATATCCTTTTTTTATGGTGGAGCAAGTCTGTCTCTCCCTATTTTAAATTTAATAATTCTCTCTATTATGGTGTCCATATCCACACCCATCTCTACCAACTCGTCTGCCTTGCGAAGGAAATCAGACACAAACTTCGCTGAAGATGGCAGCCTTCTAGGTTGTTCCTCCGCGTAGCCTGGAAGAGGTTTACCATCTTCATGCTCGCTACCGTGAGAACTTGAAATCTCTCAAAATGTGGCAGGCAAGACAATGTGGAAGAAGATGGCGTGGACGGTCATGGTAAAAGGGTGTGCAGATTTAAGGGAGGAAACTGCAAGCCAGAAACTGGCAGAAATGAAGAAGTGTTTCGCGTACAGCCTGCATGGTCAGCCAAGACAGGATGTACTGGGTAAGTGTTCACGAAGTTCACTTTGTTTTAGCCGGGAAAAATCTGCGGTAAGCATTTACAGGAGTAAAGGAAATAAAGTAAAGTTTGTCCCACTATACGCCATGTAGGCGCTTGGGGGGAGTGGAGGTATAGCTCCTCTCTTCCTTGACCTCGGCACTAGATGGGGGTGAGTGGTCAGCAACACGCCCCGGCCGGCTTTACCCCCGGGAAAGGACCCCGGTACCCATTGTAGAGGAGGCTGGGTGGGCCCCAGAGCCGGTCTGGACGCAGAGGTTAGAGGAAAAATCCTCTGCCCCCGTCGGGGATCGAACCCCGGCCGTCCAGCCCGTAGCTAGTCACAATACTGACTGAGCTATCCCGGCAGTAAAGGAAATACCCAGTATAACTTTAAAATAATTAAAATTAGTATTCTCCTTGAGAAAACTGGCAACGAATCAGAACCATTTCATTTACATTTCAAATATCTTACGAGATCTGTAGGAATCGAACTTTTCACGGCGGTGAGTCTGAAGATGGCTGCCTCCAAATTCAGGGCATCCTGATGGAGACAGAAAGGACCTCTGAAA